GGGGGGGGGGGGCGAGGGGAGGGGGGGGGGGGAGCAGTGGTGGGAGGAGGAGCGAGAGCTGGGGTGGCCACAGGGGCTGGAGCAGGAGGAGGCAGGAACCTGTCCACCAAGGTCTGGAGGTGACCTCTGAGGGCACGGCCCTGCTCCTCCAGAGCCTCCAAGCTCTGCTGCCGCAGTTGCAGATCCTCCCAGACCCAGTGGTTCTGGGTTTGGAGCTGGTGCTCCAGTAGCCACAGGTGCTGCTGGTGGTAATCCTCCAGGTTCCTGGTGCGCCTGCTGGCCCGGGTGTGGGTGGCTGTGGTGAAACAAGAGCAGTGGTCAGTTCTCCCTGGGGACACAGTGGGTGAAACCCAGCCCCCCTCTGCAAGGCGAGGTTGGAGTGGAGAATGGGCCAGGGCCCCTGCATGACACCATCCTGGATCTCGGCATCCTTCTCTTCCTCCTCAGTGTCAGGGACGGGGCCCTCTCCCAGGGTCGATCACCACACGGGGGGCATGGACTGCGTGAGCCCCCAGGATGCAGTCCAGGGCCTCATAATGAGGGAATGCCTCCGGGTTGGCCCTGGCTGGGAAGCCCTGGAGTAGGCCTGCCACAGGTCTTTAATCTTGAAGCGGACCTGCTCCCGGGTCCACATGTGGCCTCTGGTGGCCAGGTTGCAGCAATGCGGCTGTAGACGGCCGTGTTCCTGTGGCTAGTGTGGAGATCGTGGACGTTGGAGGCCTCCCCACAAACCTCGATGAGGTCCACGATCTCCGTACTAGACTAGGTGGGCACCCACCTCTTGCGGCCCCGGGCAGGCTCCTATGAGCTGCCAGCCTGGTCCTGGGAAGAGGCGGAGGGCTGGATGGCAGCGGGTGGCTGGCATATCCTGTGCCAGGTGCAGGGTCTGCTGGCTGGATGTTGGCAGGCTTGTAACTGGCACAGGCACCGTGGTCAGACCGTGCCCCTTTAAGGGCTCCAGGACTGGGAGGGGGGCAGAAGAGTTTCCCTGGTTTGGCCCAGAGTGGCCACCAGGGCAAGCTGGGAAGGGCTAGCCTCCAACTAGTTCAAATTAAGTGGCTACACAGCCCTTAATTCAAACTACTTAATTCGAACAAGGCGTTACTCCTCGTAGAATGAGGTTTACCTAGTTCGAATTAAGCGCTCTGCAACTTCAATTTAAATTCAAACTAGCGGTTTGTATGTATAGCTGCTATTAAAGTTAATTCGAACTAATGGCTGTTAGTTCAAATTAACTTTGTAGTGTAGACATACCCTAGCAGATGCTACTGCAGCTAGTGCAATTTAGATATTTGGGGCCAGCAGAGAATCCACTTGCAGTCGTGCAATATCACCCTAACTCTACCTCAGCTCTCTTGCACTAGGAGCTGGGCCCAGAACTGTGAGGTTGTATCCAGGGCTAGGAGATTGTTATATTGGTTTAGATACCATTTCCCACCCCTGCCTTGGATGATATAAATTGCTGTTGTGTAATCTACCTGGATGACATCTCTGCATTGAAAACAAAACTATTTGTGGCTTTTATACTGTGTAAAACTGTGCCAGAAGCTGATTGTTTGGACAGGAAGAGGTTTTGTATTCTCTTGAGAAAGTTGGATGTGTAGAATCAGGGCCTTATGTGATATTGAAGATAGAATAAAAGCGTTTATATTCAGTCTTATGCAATGTCTTTCAGTCTGGCTTTTTCCTCTTTATTTTGCAGGGTTTTTGGGATGTTTAACTATGCTGATGACAGAGAGACTGTGTATGCCTGGTTTACATTCTCACACTGGCTTGTGTATGCCAACAGTGCAGCAAACCCTATCATTTATAACTTTCTCAGTGGTGAGTTTCCAGATGATCACTAAGTTACACAACACAAATGTCGTTAAAGTGTAATTCATGGTAATCAATTAGGTGAATAACTGACCTAAAAATCAAGCAGTGGCATAATAGAACCACTGGAATCTGGGTTCAGATCCTGGTAACAGTCCCTGTTCTCTCTCAGTCTGCTACACTTATTGAGTAGCACCTTGCCTTCTCAAGTATCCTCATGAATTTTATAGGGAGTGCTCATTTTATAGCAAGATGTCATTCCAGCTTGAGGAGACAGCTCTGATTAAACTAGCATGCTAAAAATGGAGCAGAAGCGAAGAGAATGTACTCATCCAAGATTGTAGCTATGTACACAGATTGGTTACTCCCTTGTGCTGCCACAGCTACACTATTTTTAGCATGCTATCTTGATCAGAGCTAATGTGAGTAATGTCTCCTCAAGCTGGAATTTACTGTGGTAGCTGAATGTGTAAATTTTTGGGGGTGCAATGATGAGAGATTCAGGCAAGGGCCAAGCCCTCCCACCTTTACTGCCCATTTGGAGCTGCAAATTAGATTCAGGTGCCCCCATCATGACAGAAGGAAGAAAAATAAAACTTGAGGCATCCAAGATGTAGGGCAATGTGTTTGTGTTTGTGTGTGGGGAGGGGGGGATCATGGGATTAAGGGCATCATGAGCACAGTGTATTTAGACCTGATAGCTCAGGTTTGGGTGCAAAACAGTGGATAACGTTTGGGACTAGAAGCAGCAGGAGGGTAGAGAGGGGAGGAAGGTTGAAGCTGGGTGAAAGGCAGAGGAGGGTGAGTATGGGTGACAGAAACTGGCTTTAGTAAGAACTAGAAATACTGTGAAGATTTTAAGATTAAGGGGGTACATTTCTGTTACTTTCAGTTTTTCCTTTCCACGAGGGGAAAAGAAGGGAGGGGAAGTTCCTGATTCTCAGAAGTTTCTTTATCTTGATGAAAGAAAAAGAACCTGTGTGTTCTTATAGTTTTGTTGCTGGGGATTTTTGGTACTGTGGTGAAAGAACTATTTTCTAATGATAAATGAAGCAGTAGAAAAATATAACAAATCACAATTTTATATTTTAATATCTACGTGCTTGTTCATGTAACAATACAATGCCTTTGTAAAAATGCACAAATAACATAAAACATTCCTAACTGACATCTATTTACCATCCTAACTTATATTGCCTTTTATCTTTCTGTATCATTTGTATGAGACTGTTTTCAATAGAAATATATCATGTAAAAAAAAATCACCAAACAGTTCTTCAGACCTCTCACTGTTCGGTTTGGTGCAGGCTTGGTTACAACTAGTGATGAATGAAATTTAGATGTGTTGTTTAGATGAGCTTTGGATAAGCATTTGGATGCTCATCTCGATAGCCAAGGTCTGCAAAACTATCCAGGAAATCGAATGAGAATGGGATTTGCTGTTATTATTTCCAGTCATTTCAGTAATTTCTAGCAAACAATAGCTTGTTAACCAAGATTTCTGGCTAGAGTTGTGATGATTGAGCCTACAAATTTACCCTAATTGTGTGCTCAGTTGTGAAAAGAGAATGGAAGTTCATAAAATATCACAATAACCTATAGTTACAAATGTTGCTGGAGAAAGGTGCAAATGGGAAACAGACTGAATTAGTTCAAACAAAAAAAAGCGAATTGATATAATTCAAAGATGATGTTAAGATCATGTCTGGGAAACTAGGGAAGTGTGAGACTGGAAATTAGTGGAACAAAACTTAAAGCTTAGGCCTAACTGATGGAGAGAATAATGAATTGTTCGATTATTCTGTCTAGCACTCACTCCTGGAGTGCTTAAAAAAAGAGTCTGTGAGGGAAAGCTGGCTACTTCAGTGTTGTATGAGCGAAAGAGAGAATTTTGAATGCTTGGTGACAAAAAAACAGAGAAGGGGAAGCAGTGAGGTTAGACGATGGTTGCTGTCTCATGGGATCTAATGCTGAGGTGAACTGGTTCAGGGAGTGAGACCCAATGACATCTCCACCAGCTTTGGCTAACTCCCAAATACCACCCAGTTTATTAAACTCCTCCTCCCTGTCCACAACTTGTCCTTTTCCTTCCCAGCTTTATTTTTTATTCCTATCTATTTCCTTATTCTTTCTAAGAATCTGGCTTAGCAAGCCAAAAATATCTTCTCTGCAACAAAGCTGTTGCGGTGACCATAAAGGCAGTTAAAAGCAGTGCCCTAAACAACTCAATACTCGTAAAAATTTGCCAACACTCGGAGTGACTAATAAGACAGTGCTGTGTCTGCAGTGAGTTTGCAAGCAGTTTTCTAGCAGTGAGGTTGCAAGTGAGAATCAGCACCAAGTCAGAATGCATTTGCGGTCTTTGCAGTTCTGGTTTTTCTTTTCTTTTCTCAGGTACCAGTGTTGTTTTATCTTTTAGGAAACAGAATCAGACTTTAACAACAGCTGCTCTAGCCATCTGTACTACACTCTTTTTTTCCAAAAAGAAGAATTATTGCCATCTCTTTTAACATCTCCAAAAGGCAGTCAAATGAGACATGTTCCTTCTAAAACTCATTCTAACTAAAATGAAATGGGAATAATGGAGGCTGTTAAAATGAGAACCTTACTTTAGACTTCACATTTGTCTCCCCCTGTATTTTCTAAATAAAAAATTTAAACATTTTTAAAGGCATCTTTGCCCAGGCACTAAGCAGACTGAGGTCCTTGTTTAAAACCTTTTAATGTTGGACAATTTCAGGGTCATGTTAACACTTTAACCTTTAAGCCCCTTTAATTTCAGGATGTTTGGATGTGGGACACTCTGATTCCATCACATCTGTTGTTTCTAGCTTGAAAAATCTTAGTTTTGGAGGCCTTGCCAAAGGAAAAGATGTACAAGAATTAGCCAGGATTTTCTCAGTGAATTCAGAGTTCCAATTACATTTTTTAGGGAAGTCTAGGGGTTTTTGTTATCCAAATGGCTTCATACCAACCTTGTCAGTTCTTTCTCTGGGTGTTGACTTATATAGTGCCATCTCTTTGAAATCATGTTGCAAACATTCATTCTTTTGGCCTGTTAGGAAGGTAAGTTTTAATATCCCTGTTTTTACAGATGAGAAAATGGAGACAGAGCAAGATTAAGAGTGTGATTCTGATCTCATTTTACATGGGTATAAATCAAGTTGCCATTGAAGTGACTGTGAAACTGATATGAGATATGAACAATTTGTTCAAGGAAATATGGGGCAGAATGGGGAATAGAAGCTATTCCTGACTTTCAGCCCCGTTCTTTAAATACGGACAATCTTTCCTGTAATGAAATTCACTTTAGCTACAGTTTCAGTGTGCCCCCAGTTATTTCAAAGGTCATGAAAATTGAAAGAATAGGTGCTTCTTTAAATGCTAATTTTAATAGGCAGAAGGTTTTTTTCTTTGTAAATTGTGCAAAGTAAAACAGGAATTAGTTGTGTCCTCGTATTTCATACATCAGGAATTAGTTGTGTCCTCACATTTCATATATCAAATAATAGTCCAATCATTTCAACCTACTCATGTTCATTTACTTGTTTTCATAAAATGTAAAGAAACAAACCTCAACATTACCATAAGAGCTATTGTATTCTGTCCTGCA